TATCTTTAAGGACCCAATGAGAAGAAACCTGTGAATATTTCTATTAAGTACAAAACATTTCCTCTGTACAGAAATAAGGATCCTGACTTCATGCGGAATTGAGATAACTGCAAATTGTTTATTGAATCAGCCCATGTTACTGTTAAACATTTCTCACACGGGAAGATTCACAGACTAAGCTTTAGTTGACTGGTTAAGTCAAGCACAGCTGGTTTGATGTCCACACAGAAAACATTATTTTGTAGCTTCTTTTGCCTCCTGCTTAACTGTGGCTGTAATTGATTTGTATTAATTAAAACATTTTTCATTTGAAGTGTTCAATATTGCATATTGTTGTTAGTCTGAAATAAATTCAGAGATCACACGTGAACACTTTTGTCTGGCCTCAGGTTTGTCTGCTATTCCACTGCTTAATTGGTTACTTTATTGCTTAAATATATTTTATTTCCCTAAGTTGTTTCAGAAATAAGTACAAATTAATGAAATCTGAGCTTCTGGGAAAATACGAAACTATTCTTTTCCAGGAGAAAACCAGCCAATTCACAAGTTGTGTTATGATCTTTGTTTTTGTTAACAAAATGTTAAGTTAAAATATTAAGCCACAAAGTTAATGATCTCCCCCTTCGTTTGTTAAGATAGACTTCAATCTGTCAAGCCCTCATTCAGGTCTGGTCTCATTAATGCAGAACTTGCCTATCTGGGATATCATAGCTGAGGAAGGACCTGAAGAATAGGAAACTCGGGTGATATGTAGTTGTACTAACTGTTGTGGTAAGAAGTTTATAGTGGCTGTGTAAACACCTTATAGGATAAAAATACGGACAGTATATAGATACTGCAGATGAACACTTCCCGTCCTTATAGTAACCTGATCAAAACTGGCTTCCCGCTTTAGAAGGCACTTCCCTGGGTTATAGTTTGGGGGAAAAACTGGAGAAGCTGTTGGGCACACAAGACCTTGCCATACCTTTTTGTTTCTAAGCCGTCATGGCTACATGAAGCAGTTGCATAAGCCGAGGTACTTTGTCTACAATGAAGTGGCTAAGGAGGTTTTTTGATGAAGTTTCTTCTGGTGTACTGCTTTAGCTAAAACTTGATTAATATGTTGAAGCAAATGACCTGCAAAACTCTGTCCTGGAGCACTAAAACTTAAAAGTAGTATAAACTGTAAGTGGGATCTTGTACTATAGATCTACACAGACTGTAAGGACAGAGTAAGTATTTTGTGTCTGTACTGTTTCATAAGGGAGAATAAGAAGGCAGGTCAATAGGTTGCTGGTTGTTGAACTATTTAAGACACACGTTGCAAACAGCTTGACTGTTTGTTTGTACCTGACAAGCAGTAGTTTTAATGTAGAAGTGCTATGTGGGAAACGATGTGTAGTACAATATAGTAATATTGAAATGCAAACTGCTCCAGTTGTGTGAGTGGTCTACATGCACACCTGTCGTACAAAGGTGGAAAGTAATTGCTCAAAATGTTTTCCAGCTCTTCAATGTGTCTTCTTGCTTTCAATGGCTAATTATTTAATCTCTGAACTCCTTAGAGCTCAGAACTAGATGGAATTTAAAGCAGTGCCTTTAACAGTGGTGATGTACAGAGCTGAAATAAAATGATATAGATGTGTTGAATTTGAGACTGTGTAGTAACTTCAAGTCAGACATCCCAAGTGTCGCTGTGGGAGTTCAGACCAGCATACTGTAGGTCTGTCTCAACATGCCAACGCAGCTGAGAAACAATGGTAAGGTTCATAAATCAACCCCATTCTGTGAGAAAATTCATTGGGCTGCGAGTGGCAACTCGTACTGTAGTTTAGGAATCAAGGGTACTGAACATATTTAGTTTTCCACCATTCTTGGTCATGGATGTTTTCATCAGTTGATTTTGCAAATCTCTGCATAATCATTCCCTAAGAGCTTGCATGCTACTGTTGTAAAGTCTGTGCTGTATGAGGTATTAAAGGATTTGTTGCGTTAATATAAGATTGCCCTGCATTTTTATGAAATAACATAATTTCAAGTTAAGTACGGGTGCTTGTCTTAGGAAGTTTTTAATTGGAGCAAAAGGGGCAACTTTTGCTGATGCTTGCATCTAATGCATAGCCATAAGGATTAATCAAGATATAAGCAAAATCTTGTTGTTACTAGTAAGCCAACTTTCTAAAGTTTGGGTTTGGTTTTTTTTTTTGGTTGTGGTGTTGACTTCCTAGCTTAATCTGGCTAACTCCAATGTTATATGACATCACTTAGAAGCAGAAAGCCATAAATAAAATTGCTAACAGTGGAGATTGTTAGAGGTAATAAATATCCTAGAGAAACAGCTGTGAGTCTTTATTCAGACTTGTTTATTCCTGTTGTCGGTATAAAATTATGCCAAAGAAAATCTTCACAGTATATGGAATTTGAAAATAACTAATTTATTTCCCCATTCCCCTTAGGTCCAAGATGGGCCTCGTGGAACACCGGTGTTTTTATTTGCATCAGATGTGCTGGAATACATCGAAATCTTGGGGTCCATATATCAAGGGTCAAGTCTGTCAACTTGGACCAATGGACACCAGAGCAAATACAGGTGAAATATCTTAAAATATGTTTTCAGTTCGGAGGGAAAGCCGGGAGTCCTTTTGAAAGGATTTAAGTTTATCATGATGCCCCAATTTAAATGTTTTACAATCAAAGTAGTTCTTAATGTGTTATATTTCTACTGTAATGAGTTTAAGTTCTGAAAACCCACTTCAGAAATTGATTTAGCTATCTTTTCTGTATCATTTTAGACGTATTGTACCTTGCCATGGGGACTCTGAAAGCTGCTGCTTTGTTGTATCTGTAGAAAATGAGTTGTAAGCCTTTTCCTTTTCAGTGGGGGACAGTAAGGTAGCGTTCACACATCTGTCTGATTGTTGATTACGTTCTTTTGGTGTGCCAAGTACTGACTTTTCCAAGTATGCTCCAGTCTGAAGCCTCTTTCTTCTGCCAGTCAAATTTTCTTGCTCCTGGACTGAATAGCCATCTGGAGAGATGAAAGCTTATCTTTCACTGGATGGGTTAGTTTACATAACTAACTGGATGGATTAATTTACACTGTAAACAGCATCTATGTTATTAGCTTTTGTCCAGCAAATCTTGGCAGGCAGCCCTCCTGTGCCATGGGAGTGTCTCCCAAGACATGTGGCAGCAGAGAGATCTCCCAAGTTAAAAACTTGCAGTGTCACTTAAGCACACCAATAGCATTCTGACTGTTTGAGGATATACAGTATTGATGGACATGAACTAACTGTTTTCTACTGCTTTTCCTTAGTGCATGCAGGAAATGGGAAATACTAAAGCAAGACTACTCTATGAAGCTAATCTACCAGAGAACTTCCGAAGACCTCAAACAGATCAGTATCCTTTTTGTTTTAGCTTTCACATTGAGATGACTTTTAATGCAATGTAGATGTTATGACTGTTCCAGGGAACCGCTACAATTGGGAACTCACCTTTTTTATTTCATTGGTATTGTTGTGTAAGAAATGACAGTGGAAGTCGGGAACAGCTCAGAAGAGGTTTAAAGTACTTCAGTTATAGCAAATCTACTTTGTGATGAGATTTGGCAAGCCCCTATTATTTTTACTTTCAGAACAGGTGACTTCATAAATTCCTTGTATGTTGGGAGTTAGAGTGATACTAGAGAGCTCTTGAATATTCTGTCTTTATCTTGAGTAACTGCCAGCTGAAGTGAGAAGCATTTGAACAGGAAATAATGAGCTGAATGGTAAAGTAAGCTATTGGATGCTACTCAAATGATGTGTAGATTTCTTCCTCTAGATGAAGTATTCTGTAATTTGTTTGAGTTGAAGTGTATACATTCTATGAAGTGTGTGAGCACAGATGACTAGCATGGGAATGTCTAAATAAACCAGCCCTCCCTGATGACCACCACTTGTGTTGGTCTGTGGTTATCACCATGTACCTGGAAGGGGAGTGTTGAAAGAAAAATAGTCTGCTGCCAATCAATAGATTTCATCAAAAAATAACTTTTTCGAATGTACTGAATCATTAGGATAATGTATAATGGCATTAATTTAGATTTGTGTTAGCTCCTGATTTAGTGAAGCTACTCCACAGGTAGGATTTGTTTTACCTGATCTTACTGGAACTCTAATTAGGATGAGATCCAAAACACCTGCTGTTAAGTGAGCTGAACCTTTCCCCAGATCTCTTAGCCTGATGGTGATACCGGGTATGGAGGCTGATAAATGGACTTAATGGTAACTGGATCTGAATTTTCTCCTTCTATATCCAAAAGTGGTTTTGGTTCTTCTGTTTATTAGATACTATGCTCAATATGCTATGCGCAGAAGATTTTTTGGGAGGAAGGGTTAAACTCCTCATTATAAAAGGCACTTGAGCAAAACAGATATGTTTTTTCATATTTGAGTAGCTTTTGAATTAAACATACATATGCATAACAAAAAAGTAACTGGAAGGAGATAGCACTGTAGTATTCCAGCTGTAATATTCTAGAACTTTATTTCAGCCATAAGACTGAAATACTTTGACTATACTTGCTCAAAATACTTGCTCAAAAGTGGATCTTGAAGCTGTATATGTTGTTCTTAGTCCAACTAACTTGAATTCACTGGTGCTATTGCAGGAGAAGCAATAATGGTTTACTCTAAGCTTTTTCTGTCAGATCAGACCAAAAGTCTCATTTTTAGACTTTCAAAATAATTCTTTTGTTGATACTGTGTATCTTGAAATAATTATATAGCCTTTTGAACAGTTGTCACTTTCTAAGTGGTGGACTTGGTCAACTGAATATATTTCATTGCATGTGTTTTCTTTATTAAAAATACAGTGCCAGGAGAGAGGATGCCAACATTCTCTGTTTCCCCATAACTTTGGCAGCTAATTACCTACTTGGAATTCATGACAAGCTGTTGTGTTATGGGCTATTTTTGCCTTTCCTCTTTGCATCACTACAAAAATCAGCATTGTGTCTCATCAGTATTCTAATTGTGAATATTCTCAATATTCTGATTATTCTTTTGGATGAGCTATGGAAACTCCTTGCATGTAATGATCACTTTTGCATATGTTCTTCTATATTAGTATTTAACTTCCTATAGCACTGTAACATACTTCTATTTTTTAAGTAGTAGAATGGAGACACAGGAGAAACGTGTATGTGGGATCTGCGCAAAATTTCCTGCTAAAGGTCCTCCATCACTTCTGCTTCTTAATCACAAGACTGACCTTTCTGGGCATTTTTTTATTCTTCCCTTGTACTTGACAGAGATGCTCTGGCATAGAAGCATTGAGGATCATCTTGATGTTTGTTTTGTATGGCCCCTTTAGCTTCCTGTTTGAAAGTGTGGTTTTTTCCAAGAGTAGAACAAATAACTTTTTTGCCTCTTCATTTTACTCACTTCTTAAAACAGTTTTGGTATCTGTTGAGGTTGCCTTAAATTCTTTTGTTAACAAGAAGACAGTAGGTTATTGATCTAAAGAAACTTAAACGTGATCCAAAAATTCATGCGTATTGAAGAGAGGTAACTTGAAAAAAGTGTATTTTGAAAAATATCCACGATTTAATACCCCAGTGTAATAGCATCCTGAAAAATTAAACCCTATGAAATCTGAATACGTATGATTACATGTTAATAATTTTGAAATGAAAACTTTCTAGTTGTCTGAAATACCAAGTGTGCATTTGCTAAATATAGAGGAATATTTATGCAAAAGAATGAAAATATCTAACACCGAAATCTGAGCAACCGAAACTTAGAACACTTGACAAAATAGATGTCCCATCTGAAAATGTTCATTTTGGCAAATAACTAAGACTTTTTATTTGAAGAAAGGACAGGTTGTTCTAAGATATAACAATCAAGTTTTGAATCTTTTCCATTTACTTCTAAATTACTTATAATTTAATGGAGTTATCCAGTAACAGCGCAAAAGCATGGAAAAAAATTAAATTCCTGTTCTCTGTCTCCTGCCCCCACTGAGATTATATAATGCAGTAGTTTGTACTGCAAGTTGAAAATAGACTTTTTGAGGGAATCCTGTTTAGTTTTAGCTAAATTTGAAAAGTTGTGGGAGTTGCATATTACACAGCTTCCATTCATCTGTAATTTGATACTATACATTGATTTTTATTTTTTGGGGGGCAAAATGACAGTCCTTTGGTACGTATAAGGACTAATGCAGTATTGGTACTAAGATAGTTGTATGTTCAAAGTGCTCAACATGCCCTTTAGAATGTAGATATATTTGGAAAGAAGTAGAAAAGAATGTTTTTGCAACTTTTATGAAGCAACATCATCAGGTGACACTTGCATACAATTCGAAACACTATGTGATTGTTGACAATATGATTTGATGGACAGAATGAAGGAACTGAACTGAGTGCTCAGAGCTCAGTGTTAATCTTAACAGATAGTACATGGAGCTAAGGTATCTTTCCATCAGTTGAGGAAAAATTGCTATGGAAGTTTAAGATGCAATGAATCTGAGCTTCCACAGTTGCATTTTGATTTTTGGATAGGTAATCACATGGCCGAACAAATTAGTTAAAATTTATTCTGCAGATACCAGAGAAGCAGCCTTACTAAAGTTAAAGTATTCACAGTGCTCTGGGTGGGCTGCTTTATGAAGCTGAGCGAATAATTGAGGAAAACGACTAGTTGTCCTTTTTGTGTTTGAGCTAGCGAGTTGTCAGCTCAGGTCTTCTACATCAATATGCTTACTGCTATTTCCACCTTTGCTTCAATATCTTTTTATCACTAGTGTTTTAGTTTCCTTTCTGCAGAGATTTTGTTGTATAGGAGACTCTTATGGAGGACTTACTGATCTCAGAGTACTGTTATGATCAGCTTTTGATGCATGATGTAATTTGTGCAAATCAGAGAACAGGTACATACATTTCGCCTTTTATCTGAAGAGAAAGTGTTTTTTCCCAAGTTATGATGGTAAACTATACTTTAATTATTTACCGTATACGAGTACATTTGTTCAAGTATTTGCAGTACTGCAGCCCTGTAGCTTATAAATACCAAGTGAAAATGTCCTGACTGTGGAACACTGAATTGATTCTAGTATATCTTTCTGATGTTATTTCATTAAGAGATTAAACTGATGAATTCTCTGTAGTAAAAAGAAGCTCTTTTTGGACACTGCAATAGCAATTGTTCTGTGTAGAGCAGTTTGTTTTAAAGCTACGGAATGAGATGGAGCAAGAATTTTGTGCAATTTTTTAATTTTATTAACCTGTCAGCTTTTAAAGTTAATGTTGCTATTTATCTAAATGCATATTTTCCTTAAACTAGCTACTTCCAGAGCTGTGGAATTTTTCATCAGGGATAAGTACGAAAAGAAGAAGTATTATGATAAAAATGCAGTTAATGCCTTCAATGTAAGTAAACAGTTTCACCAAGAGTTCGGACACCTTTCTTTTTTGAAAGCTACCTTACATATTTTGAAATGTCTTTCACAGTTGAAAACTTTCTGATACAGAGGTAAATGCTTTCTTTTGTATCTCTTGAAAGCTGTTGCTAGCTTCCGTAAGTTCAACATACATTGTCTATTACATTTATAGCAGCAAAGCATTATGATCCAACAAATCGCTTGCTTCCGACTCTTTCGATTGTGTCTTTCTCTTTCAGTGATGGGTAGTTCTTCAACAGTACACTCTGCATCCTTTCTGAGTATCTTTTTCCATGTTACAGGGATAAGATAGGATTACTGTTTCTGGTGACTTTGTCTTCCCTCATTCTCTATAATACCTTGATGAGAAAACCTAGGGTGTTTTGGGCTCCTCTTCTGAGGATCTTATCGCTCTGCTGAATTCCAGACTGTTGCTTGCAGCGAGGTGCACTGTAATAGCGAACATGGGCAGTGCGGCAAACCAGCTATTTAATTATGTCACTGTGTGTTCACTACAGTAAGTTCGTGAGTGCTTTTCTGGCAAAGCAGTTTTGAGAATGTCAGCCTTTACTGAAGTTCACAGCCTTGTTCGTTTGTTTTTTTTTGGGTACAGCTGTTTCTGGGGTACACAATCTAGTTTATGTATTTATGTTTATATAGATATATTTATGCTTAAACACACATTCCTCTGTATCTACATTATTTAAATCTGGCCTAACAGGTAACTTACTAGTCCATATTACTGGGCACTGAACTTTGACAGGGGAACGAGTGCAAGGGTGGGCGTAAAGAGTGGGAGTTTATGCTGCCTTTCCCATCTGAGAAACTGGATCTTTGAATGATAGTTTCATTTTAGTTTCCAGGTTTGGGGTTTTTTTTCTTTCTAAAGAAGTTTAGTTTATTAAGCATTGTTGAAGTAGGGAGAAAATTGCTTCACTTAAGAGGTAAAATGCAATTGTGATTTGAATTACACTGTCAGTTACCCTTCTTTACTTTTATTCCAAAGTAGAAAATAGGAAGAATTGTTCAAAATTATACGACTTCTAAAAATTCAAAAGACTCCCAAGATCTTTCTAAACAGAGAACCTAGGTGTTTAATATAGTAGTCCACTGCTACCTTAATATGTTTGCAGGAGTAATTAAATTTTGCTTTATCGTGTTGCAGACTAATATGAATTGCTTGTGTCATAGCAGCGAGGATAGAATCAGACAAGCTGAAGAGATGCATGTTACTGCTGAGTAGGGAACACCATTTTATTTCTTCCTACTGGGGCTTTTCTTTCATTGACTAGTGTAAATGGCATAAATATTTTGGCAATAGAGGACTCGTGCACATTCATATTCACCTGCATTTCTTCAAGGCCACCAAACATCAGGTTTGAGGTAGGCAATCTGAAATCGCAGTTATGGCAAAATCTTAAAAGGACACAATACTAAATTAGCCAAACTAGCGTAGCGTCTGTAGTCCTGGTCTGTACTGGGTCACCTGCCCTGGCCCTGGCCCCAGCCCAGCTCAGGTGGGCAGGTAGTGCTGTGACTGGTATTCAGTGATCGTCTTTCGAGTGGGTCTGGGACTGGCAGGGAAGAGGAAGAAAAGGTGAAGCTGGGCCTCCATTCTGCATGTCTGGTACCATGCTTTTCTGCTCCTGGATGCTGTTGGTGGGGAAGAGGGGAAGTCACCCTACACTTCCAGCACATGGAGGTCTGTGGGGAGTTTGGGAAGAACGGGGTGAGGAAGAGTTCTGTGGGGGTATGTGTTTCTGTGCCCCCGTGCAGAGGGTGGTAACCATGTCTAAAGCTTTCTTTTAGCAGTCCTGATGACATCTGAGACACCTTCCTGCTTCCCACCCTGCCAGGAGGTGGCTAAGATTTCCTGGGAACTGAGGGGCGGCTGTGGAGGAAGGGGGGGATTCCCATTTCTAGCCTTCAGCCCCTTGCCAAGTGTTCTGGTAGCATCCAAGCACTTGTTATCACGATACTTTTGTGAGTAATAGTTGTGTGAACTGTTCAGGTGGGGTGTCTGTGCTAATTCACGGCACAGTCTTCTCTTCTGGAAAATTCTTTACTATACTTGCTTTTGCAGAGGGCACCCTGTGTTCTATTTTTAATCGAAATCAGCATTGTTGGGGTAACGTGAGCTTTTTAGCACACTTTTTGTTATCACCTTTGAAACGACAATGCCTCCTGCTTGGATTAGGACCAGTTTAAGTTGGAGATGCATATGTATGTTGTCATTTGGTAAAATGAATCCCTTCTGGGTATGAGCAGGTAATACAGAAGTGCAGAAACAGGCTTGCTATGCCCTAAGGGTTGCTTTCCTTAACCAAGTAATTTCACTGAGGTGGTATTTAAAAATTTAAGGGGCTTTCCCAGATTTCGTCCACTGTTACGAGTTGCTTGTCATAAAAGCTTCCTGTCACATAAAAGTTCTTTAGAATAGATACTCTTAAAATGTGCAGTACAATGTTTCTCTTAGCTCAATTTTGGCAAGATCATATCCTTTTCACGTTTGTCTAAGTATGACATCTGTGTTAATGTGATCTGTCTGTTGGAGCCCAGGAGTATACGTCAAGGTTCATTTCTTGGTTCTGTGACGCTCAGGATTCATGTATCTTTTCTTTTGTTAGAAAATTTTTATTTAGAATTGTTAATGATATGAGATGTTTTGTTTTCTGACAAGACTGTTCTATTACTAAATTTGGTTTTTAGAGATACACACTATAATAACAAAATTAGCTGGTGCAGAGACCAGTAGTGCCATGAAACATGCAGACTAAAAATAGGCAAATATGAAAAATTAAATTAAGTTTTTTCACGGTTCACTGAAAAGGAATGCAGGATAAAGCTATAGGCAAAAAAAAAGCATCTGTGGTTTTATTGGCTAGTTACATTTTAAATAGAATAATGCATTTAAGTAGAAATCAAATATACATTAGAAAAATCTAATGCTGAGTGAAAGCAGCCTGACTTTAAAAAATATTTAAAATCTATTAAAATGCATAGATCTCAGAATTTTCTCTGAGATCTCCATCATTATTGGGAAAATGTGAAATGCTGCTTCTGTATCACTGCTCAGGACTAAATGAGTGGTACAATTTACTCAGCTGGTATAAGTGGGTTATCAGTAAATAGTTACTCTTGTTTTCTTGCTCAAACTCAGTGCAGGCTAGTGACTTCTTTCTGGAAAGACCTGAGAGGCTGACACCTTTGAACAGAGGTGGTTTTGTTTTTCTTTAGTTGTTCTTTTTTGTGGGTTTGTTTTGTTCTGGTTTTTTTTTGATACTGGGAAACATTCTGCTGTCAGTTAGGCCTAAGTCTTAACCACAGTCTTAGGCTTTAGCCTTGAGAAAAATCCTCTGGAATGTAGCAGCAATGGTAGCCCCAGGCAGGCAAACTACAGTGCTGTGGGTCAGGTTAGGAGATGTGGGAAGGGGATTTATCAAAGTGACCACACTATGCTTGTCCCTTCTTCTCGCAGGTGTGCTTTCAGCTGTGCTTCAGGCAAAACAAAAGCAGGAGCTCCAATTCAGAATAAGCAGAGGGGAAGCCTGGGAAAAAATATTAATGGAAATGATGTATTCATTATATCTTACTGACACTGATAATACAGTTAAAATCAATCTCACATTTTAAAGAATATGTTAATGTGGATGAGTTTTATGGGTGCCTTTCAGGTTTTTTTGAATATTTATGCTTTTTTAGGTCTTACTTGGAACAGAAACCTTTTTTTCTAATAATTAGATTTTTTTTTTAACAGTTACATATGCGTTTTAGAGAAATGTCTAACAATGCATTTGTAGAAATACTTGATTTCCAGAGTACTGGAATGTTGCCATTTTTTTAAAATTTTTTTCCATTTACCTGCTCTTTAAGTAGCAGTATTTACATTGATCAGAATAAAACTTAAAAGTAAAGAAAAGAATTTTGAATAAATTGGCCTACCCAGGCAGGCTAACTGACTTTTATATCCGATGGAAGTATCTTCAGATGCATGTCAGCTCTTTGAAAAACTCTTATAGTTGAAATGATTTGTAAATGCTTATATACAGTTGTAGGGTTGAGATATTATGACTAAAACTGAAGACAACTGTGTGGTATTTATGATATTTAGAAAAATGTATCTTTATTATCAAAGTATATTCCACTTAACCAGTGTAGCCCATGACAGAGTTAGAAGTAGTGTTTTTCAAGCCAGTGCCTATCATAATTCTCTCTCAACATTAACAAGAGTCGCATGGATATAAAAGATCAACACTTCCTTTCTGAGAAAGTAGTTCATAGTCCTACTGTGGCGAGACCTCGGTTTGTCGAGCCTTCTAAAGACTTGACTGCTTAAGAAACCCGTGTCTCTTGATCTGGCCAGCTACTTTCCTGTTTTGCTTTGGTACAATGTCATTTTGAAACATTCAGGACTTCATTTTTTTTAATGCTTTTTATGTATGCTTAAATTTAAAAAGAGGAATAATTAGAGTAAAAACACTTGAAGCTGACAGGATATTACTTGGGAATATATATATATTTGTTCTGTGAATAACACGTGTGATTTCATGTTGTTAATGGCAGGAACTTTTTTTGCTTTTTGAATGATTAACTTAGGAGCAGCAGTACCTGTAAGTTGATTTGCTAACTTTAAATATCCTTGGCATAATACTGTCATCCTAGAATTAATTTTCTGCCAAACTCCCTTCTTAATTTTTAGGCATACATAATCTGTGAATGATACAAAGTATAGCACAGAATCCAGTAAAACAAATCTCATGTAGTTTATACAGATTAGGGCATCTTTATAAATGTGGTGCATCTAAGATACAGTAACACGAGCAGTTTACTGTGTGATATGCTATGCTGTTTGACTCGATTTATCCCTGAAAGCTTGTACAACACAATGGAGAGCTTGCATCGCTTCTGGAGTTAGCTACAGATGGTTACTGTAGGTCAAGTGGTGTAAGGTAGTTTTGTATGTTTAAACTCTCCTTCAGGTGCGTGCTG